TTTGACATCTGCAGAGAACGTCTGTAAAAAAAAACTAGTAAAAAGCAGCAGGCATAAAAATCTGCAGGGAAACTTCATTTAATTACCCAGAGGGATGGAGGGCAGACATGGTAGGACAAAATGTAAGGGAAAATGCTAAATGATGGAATGAAGGCGACTTAGAGAAAAAGTATGTGTAAAGTAGTTCATCTGAAGCTGGAGTGGTTTTGATGATATACAGTACATGGAAGAAGGATTGTAAAAGCATGAAGTTATATCACAAAGACCAATTCCACACTGAATCTGTTGTGCTCTTTTGCCACTAGATGGCTAATGCATCTGTTTTACCAAAAAAAAAGAAGTCTCACTAATGGAGAGATGTTTGAGGTGGGTTTCACCTCCCTGCTCATGATGGACGGCTGCATCTTTGGGTGCCAGCTGCTGCGCCACTCACTTCAAGCTCCCTGCGTAACCCGTGGGGAGAAATATGCCATTTTAGGAGATGATTCACTGACCTATTTTGGGTCCTGTGGGGCAGGACAGGGAGAGGGCAGATCTCAGTCTGCTGGACTCAGGGCTGCTTTTAAGAGCGGTGTTGCTGTACCCAGATGTTTCAGGGCTTGATTTGGATGCTCACATAGGGATGGCTGGCGCCACCTGAGATGCTCTAAAGCCTCTGAGATGGCCACATGGACAAGCAGATGTTACAGAGTCCCTGTGGGAGACACATGCCCTTCTGGGGCAGCAGCCAGGATATTCTGCCGTATGTCCAATGGTTCTGAGTACCTGCCTTGGGGGTTACTCATCTGAGCTCTTCCTCTCTCCTTATCACTTGACCTTGATGGAACAAACTCTGACATGGGTGGTTGATAAAAATAGAGTTCATGGAGAAAGTGAGCAGTGCTGTGTACCAGGGAAGTTTTCTATCTATGGTGGAAATGATCTGCACCATAGTGAGCACTTAGAGCTATTCTGAGGAAGAAATAAAGATGGACAAAACAGTGGCCTCTGTGCCTAAGATAAAGTCCTTGCCCTGCCTTTCTGGGTTAAATGTGCTACATTATTGATGACAAACTTTAGGCAGCCCTCTGTGGCCCATGGGCTCAGGAGGAAAGGGGGGCTGTGGGGTGAGACAGGTCCAGCAGGGAAGGGCATTTCCAAAGGGTGGCTGTCCCCTGTCACTCCTCCAGAAAGGGACAAACCCAGTGAGCTGGTGCTCTGTAGGAAAGGAAATAAAGTACTCTGAGAATCTGGAAAGGTAATTTTTGGTTGTTGTTTTTTTTTTTTTTAATCATTATTTCCTTTGGGATTTTTTTAAAGTTTCTTTGCAAAGAAGTGGTTGCCTGGGAGGAACTCCCTGGGAGAAGCTGGGGATGGGGCAGTGGAGCAGAGGCTGTGGCACAGGGAGCTCTGCGGGGACCAGCCTCTCACTGGTTTGCTTTGCTCTGCTCACCAAGAAAAACTGAGCACTGGGGCCTGAGGCATCTGAGCTATTTGCATCAAAATGATCTGACAGTTCCTCTTGAAATGAGAAGGTATGAAGTAGTCTGTGGTTTCCAACCCAGGTATTTGAATCATGCCCTTGATCTTGGCAGCTGAAACACTGGGCCATTTGTCTCCAGACATTTACAATTTTTCACATGGTGTGCTTGGTCTGAAGTTTTATTCCTATCCCAAGTCAATCCCAGGAACACTTTTTCCTCATCTGTTAGAAGTATCATCTCTTCTAACCAACTCAGATTTGCAAGTGGCTGCTCTGCAAGAGTTTCAAATGCAGAAGGGAGAGGGATAATTTGATTAGAAAGTATCACATTTTTACTCCTTGTATGAGAGCCTGTGTGGTGATACTGCACAGTGAGTAACAAATACAAAAATTAAACAAATATTTTGTCATTATGCCTGTGTGAGTTTTTGACCATTAATTATTTAATATTGGTAGATATAGAGAAGACAGATTGATAGATAGGTAGGTAGGTAGATAGATAGATAGACAGATAGATAGAAGATGAATAGACATGAAAGATAGATATAGAAAGTATTATGAGTTCCTTAGTTTTACTAAATTCTTCATGTGTTCAATACATAAAACATTCAGAGACAAAATGCCTCTTTTCCTTTGTTAGGAGATTTCACTGAAATAATTCTTCCTATTTTGGAAAAAAAAAATTAAAATCTGTAGTAATAGCAATTCTGAAACATGATATTTTGTCTTTACTCAAGCCAGCTCTCTGTCCGAACCAAAATTATTGTTATTAGTGTTATGTAGCCATTTTCTTACAGGTTTCTCTGCAGTGCTCGGTGCGAGGAGCTGCCCCTGTTGCGATGTACCGTCCGGCTCCTGGAGAAGGCTCTGGTGACACTTCCGAGGGCTCAGGCTTTGACACACATGTAAAAGGTGATTTGGGGGATGCGAAAAGCCATGAACTGAAATGATTTCACCTAATTTTAGCCACCTTTAAGTATCTTGGCTAAATGAATTTTTAGCATCCTTGTGTTTGCAAGAGACAGGCGTTTGCTTTGGTCACCTGCACCTCCATGTTGCTAGCTCCAGCTGAGATACTTGGGTTTCTAGAGATCTAGAGTGGCTCTCAGGAGTGACACAGGACACATGGAAGACCCTTGCCACCTCACGTGGCATCGGGAGGCTGAGCAGGATGCTTTGCTGCACTTCAAATGGCACCACGTGCTCCTGTCTAGGGTGGACAATTGAATCTTGCCTGGAGAGGCAATTCCTCCTGCCTGCTTTAGACATCTCTTTCAGTATGGGCTGGGGGAAGGCTACCTCTCTCCATGTACTATGTGGCTTGACGCTTACCCCAGAAAAGACTCCTTTTCAGTGGTTCAAGTTAGACAAGATGAATTTAACTCTACTTTCTGTGTTATTCCATATGTCTTCCTACCAGAGCTAGTTTGAAGTCACAAGTCCTTTAAGTCACACAAATCAAGCCAGAAAATAACTTCAGAATAACAACATTTAATATTTATACATATTAAATGTCAGGCCAGTGATTGCACAGTTGACAGGACAGAGGGTGTCCCCATTAGCACACAGATGTGACACTAAACATCCCCAGGGCAGGACAGCTTGGAACAAGCAGATAGCAGCAGTACAGTGCATTCACTTTCCCGTGCTGGAGGTGGTGTGTGCCACTGGGTACCTCTCCCTCGCCCAGGGCTGGCACAGCCCAAACTGGCTTTATCATAGAGATGAGAGTCAGGGAGACAAAACTAAAGGATGAGGGCAGGGCTGATATTTAAGGGCTGTGAAGAGCTCATAGAGCCCCTCTGCTGACAAAGGAATCTCTCTCAGTCTGGCTACATGCTGAATATCCTTACTTCTAGCTGCCTCCTTGACTCTCTTTCTGGTTGAGTCACTTGGCTTTATTTTGAAGTCCACTTTATATGGTAGCACTGTGCAGGCTTCACTGCTGACAATGAACATGAGCTTTTTAAGCCACCTGGCAGGTTTGGATGCACCTAGTCATGACTGCAAACTTCAACAAGTCTTATGCTTTTTTTACAGAAGGTACTTTTAAGTTTTATGGTCAGATTTCCTTCTACTAGGGGTGAAACTATGCTCCAAGGAAGTTTACATGTGCTCCTCATCTTAGCACAGCTGGCGTTTTCTTCCCCATTTTGTATGGGGATACAACGGGGATGCAATAACTGTGTTCAAATAACTTGCTCCCATGCTACAATGCAGAAATATGAACAACTTTTGGCTGAGAAAACATAAATATCTCTCTTTGAAAAATAGACTCCAAGTGCTTTAAATATATTCAGATTTTCATAATGGCATACATGCCTTCAGGATGGATAAAGATTATCTTACAGTTTGGCTGACTCAGGGAATTCAGTGGCATGTCCAAGAATTAACCTCTGAGGAAGTCACCGAAGCGATGGGGTTTCTGAAATTTGCCAGTCATGGACTGTAGCATCAAGGGCTTGGTCTTGTGTGATGATGGGGAATTACGCAGCTCCTGCTTGGGATTACTGTTGCTGTAACACTAAGACTGATGCAATTTGTTGCCTTTCAGATTATATCTGTTATTTGTTACTAAGCTGCACATAATTACTACCTTTATCAATGTAATGTTTATCTTTACCAGTTAATTGCTTGTCCATGTGATCTATTCTAGAACAGCTCTACAGACCTGTGTGGAAATTAGTGAGACTCCTATGCAGTCTCGTGAGGGCAAAATTGGTGCTGAGGTTCTCCTCCTTTAGTTAAACAGGACATTGTTAAACTCTTGCTCCAAACTCTACTGTCTATATTGACCCAGATAGCCCCTCCAGGGCTACCACGTCTCTCAGATGCTCCTGAAGAACTGATGTAGAAGTGCGCTGGACTTTGTCAAACGTGATAGCAAGCTACCGAATGAGCATAAGGGGATTTGGCTCCAGAGCGGCTGAGGGAGGCTGAAGACTACGTGCTTCAATTGCGTCTGCAGTGTCACAAATGCCGCTCGATATATTCTCTGCGCATCCTAATTTAAATCTGGGAATGCCTGGGTAGCAAGTTAATAGGAACAGACAGGTGAGCTCAAGGTGGGATTTGGAGGGGATGGGAGGTTATTTACATCCAGCCAGAGAGCGCCTGCTTCATGCAGCTGATAAATGCACACCTTAACAACGGTTCAGTTTCCCATATACACAAGAGGGCAAGTGGTGAGCTTTAATCTGGGGACCTTTGTGTTTTATGCACAAGTACAGCCGTCAGGACCAGTCAGATTAGTGTTTTTGCCAATACCTGAGATTTAGCAGGAATTTATATATATATAGGAATATATATATATATATATAGGATTTTATATATATTTAGAGAGATGAAAATTTGGTGTCTCAGATCTAAATGTCTTTTTCCACCCTGACTTCTTCATAAAATATTCATTTTGCCTCATGAAACTCCTGAACATTTTGGGCTTTATTTGTCATCCCCCCATAAATACAGCACAGCACACTATCCTTATCGTATGTGAATCGGCAGCTAGGGGCTTGTTCTGGCATTCCCTGTAGGTCAGTCACATTCCAGAAATATTTGTCTGAAAGGCAATGAATGAAAGATGATCAATTAATATTCCAGAGGGATATCAGACTTAATGCAAGCATCTTGTACAACGAAAATAAACAGTGAAAAGGAAGCAGTGGTGATAAATGAAACTTGAAAGAGGTTTTCTTCCATTTTGTAAAATGACATTTTTACTACTGTTGACCAGCTAAAACCACTTCTACTTCTCTCTCACGGATGTTGGGCAGTCATTCCACTTTATCAAAAAGTCTTCTTGAATAGGAACACAACCATGCAACTGAGTGTGTCAACACATCACACTGCTCTGCTGTTTTGAAATATCTGAGGACCGTGTTATCCCTGACTACAATGTGAGCGACAGAGAGCGTGCAAATGCATGTGTACTGCCTCAGCTCCCCGGAGGAGCTCATGCAGGGGCTGTGCAGATCTCTCTGATCATGTACCATTCCCAGATCCTGAAAAATAAAAGTGGTAAGAATGTAAAGCACTCTGATACCTTTTACTGCATACCAACCTTTCTTTTCCTCATACATGTGCCACATATGAAGCCGGTAAGTCCATTGATGACTTGAATAAAACAAAGAATAGCTTCAATCACACCAATGGCCAGGAGAACAGAGAAAAGGACGATATTCCAAAGGATGATGTTTTCAGGTTCTTTGCAAATGCTCCATGTTGTCTGGTTGAACAAGTAATTGTCTCTGTGATAGAGAAAAATAGTTGGCAATGTATTAGAAAATAAAAATTCAAGAATGCTTTCTGTGTTTTCTGGCATTACATTTTCTGAACTTGATTGCACAAAGTGACTCTCAAATTCTACTACAATTGGTAAAAGCTGATGATTGTCTTCAGAATTGCCTTTGCAGAGGTGCAATTGATGCTGGGGAAGAGAGCCACATCTGTACTTTGTCGCACGCCCGAGAATCTCCCTTTTGTTTTATGGCAGTGCTAACAACTAAAGGGAAAGGTCCCTAATGGTTTTAAAATGTGTCTCCATGTTCTCCCTTCCTGCTGTGGGATCTCAGCTGGTATCTCAGCCCAGTCCATCCATCATCTCTAGCTCTGGCTTGAAAACTGTGGTTGCCAAGGTTAACTTTAAAGAGTTAGAAAAGATTTTTGCTTTGCTTTTCGGAAGTAGGTAGAGTAGACTCCATTCATGATAATTTAACAGATTAATGTGGCATACCTATTGAACATTTCTTTTTGACTCCGGTGGGAGTCACAGTTCAGCAGCCTTTTGAAAGCATGGTGCAACTGGCGCAAGGGGCTGCTGACAAGCACAACAAAAGAAACTCAGGCTGTTTGCCCAAAGATGATCCTTGGTCAAAGAGAAGACCAGCTGGAACACGCTGGCTCAGAGAACTGTGAATTTATTTGTAGACTGGATGGACCAACAGTTCACTTTGGAAAAATTCAAATTTGCTATAAAAAGATGTGAGCGGGGGGGGTTAGGGAAAGCAAAGTTGGAGGAGCCTGTGAGTCATACTCACTCCAGAGTGTTGTTCCTGAAAGGGTAGAGGTATTCTCCATCACCCGTGTCACACAGAGGGCCTCCAATCAGCCCCAGTGAGGAGATAACCGCACAATATGCTCCTCCCGCGAATCCCAGCACAGCCAGGACCACTGACAGCAGCATCTGAAAGGGAAAAGACCTTCAACATCGCATGCACAGAGGCACTGAGTAGCATGGAAAGCTTACACTGAATGGGAAGGAAATTATCTTTATCTGTTTCTTACTATATGCTGAAACTTGTAGTGATAGTATGATAATTGTGGGAATAAAAAACAGTTGACTTTTTCTGACTAGTGCAGCTATCGTAGATGTGAAAGGATTTCAGACTGTATTTGTTTTGCTTTTAAAAGTGGGTAAGCCCAGAGCTTTAATTATTCAGTGTTTTATACTTGACCAATCAATTACGAAAAATCTGGTGGTCTTCTTTCAAAAAGCCAATATGAAACCAGTACTGGCTTGATGTGGTCCGCAACATGTGCCTTGGCATTTCCACCTCTTCACCAAGAGCACCCTTCTCAGCCCTTGTACCAACAGAAACTAGCAAGCAACTACCGAACCAAGTATGAAAGCGACAGAAGATGCAGTAGTTGTTTTTGCTAATTGATGAGGAATGCAAAAGAGCCTTTCTTATTGCTGCTTTGCTTCATTTTGCAACAGCATGACATGTGGTTACCACTGCTCGTGTTGAGAAATGTAATTGTGCTGCGTGTGGCAATGAACCAGCAGTGACTTCGAGTTATATGTAATGCACCTGTACGTTTTACATTGGCCACTCCCACAGAAACGTTACCTTTGCTCTGTTTTGGGGTAGTTTTCTATTAATGGATGGAATGTATCTGGTTGCTGTTTGTATATAGAAACAAGAATCTCAGGCGGGTGCTACTGGTGTTGTATCTGGCACGGGCTTCCCACTAGTCTTGTTAAGAGTCCCGGCCTGTGGTTGTTCACAACTCTGCCAAGAAGGAGAAGAGAAAAGGAAACTCTGGAGCAGACTGACAGAGCCAGGGGAAGACCTGGACTAGGGGCAAGGCAGCAAGACTGCCTCGGAGTCAGGGCAGAGGCACGGCTGAGGAAGTACATGGGAAACACTCCCATCTATGACTTGGGTTTGAAGCCAAATACCTCTGGCAACATTTCCCTGTTGCCAGCAAATACCAATGAAATCTAATAGCCCACGAGGAAGGTAGAAACCTTCTTCTAATGCTAGCTGCTCCACAGAGTGCTGTGGTACAGAGTCAAATGGAAACATCCACCATCCACGCTGAAGTTTTGTGACATCGTCTTGAAAACTATTCACTGTCCAAACGTGTTCAAGCTGGTGAATGCCATTTCCAACTTGCCACCCGATGACATTAGGGCTTTCTGTACAACCCTGCATGCTGCCAGTGTGTGAATTGACTAATTTTGTGTGTCCTTTTGCCTCTAAAGCAATCCTTGAGTTAAAAGTTGCTGGGATTTCTCATGAGATTTATTTCATTGTAACTGATTAATAACTGTCTTTTTTTGCAAAGCTGAACACCCTTTTTGTCTTTATCTGCATGTTGGCTGAGTTGCCTCTTAGCAGAGCTTCATTGTCAGCAAAATGTAGGTAATTTAGTATATTGTCCCAGACCAAAGCAGCGCTGGGTTGTAGCTGATGCACCGTTTCTCATAACAACATCACCAGCCATGCCTTGCAGTGAGGGTGACTGATACTCTGCCTGAAACGCCTGCCTACACTGAACCACTTCTCTCCACCTATTTTCTCATTTACTTCACTGTGCATTCTGCATCTTGGTTGAAGGATCTTAATTATGCTAATGATTGGTTTTAGCACAGCATAGCAGTATGGGCATCCCAAAGACAATTATGATAGAAAAAGTCAAATGGTCTTTTGCTACTACTATGTTTTATGATAGTGGTTAGTACTAGTAGTACTCATCAGTGCTTTGACACATGATTTTCTCATTTGAAATCTGTTGGCTGTATGGCTACCTTCATCTCACCTATTTCCTTTACTGTTTATACATGTTTATACAGACAAAGACTACTTGTCACTGAAAGGGGAGTCTGAAGTTGCTGCAGCTGTTTAATTGGCTCTCCTGGGCATTTTCTAGACACACAGTGGCATTTCCCCATTATATCTACTCTTCTGGTGTCTTTTCTGGAGGCTTGTCCCATATTCTATGGAAATCCAACAATTTTATTAACTATTGCATCATCTCAACCTTTCAGCATTTTCCCTAGCTGTACCATCTTCATTTATCACTTTTTTTGAAATTTTTTATTTCCTCATTTGTGTCTTCAGTTGCAACATGAGATCTAAGCTGGGATGCTTGAGTTTGTTGAAATTAGTTTCCCATGGTGTTGGCCTGTTCTCTACTTCTTGCAAAGGTTTAGCTGATTATTTTTGCTGATTTTCTTTTAATGTTTTCCCTGCTTTATCTTTCACACAGTTGGATTGTCTCTGATGAGCTGATGAAGACTTTCAGCATTCATTCTTTGAGCATTTGCATCAGCTGCTTTGGTGAAGTTACCAAGTTCCTCCTGTCCCAGCTTGTGCTGCTCTTTATTGCTCTGGTTCTTGCTTCATGCACATTTCTTTCTTCTTCTCTGTTTCTTTCTCTGTATATGCTTTTTTGTGGAATTAGCATTCTGTCTGGTTATCCAGGTATCTTTGCTTATCTAGGTTTATTTGTCTGGAAAGCTGCTATGGCTATTCTTGTTCTACTAGTAACTCTTAAGGAAGGCTTAGAGAGAAATACTGGAGTATGTTTGCTGATGCAACGACAGAAGCTGTATTTTGGGGAGCCTTTTTTCCTCATTGTGCCAGTGCAGTGGATGCTTTCAGATGTGCACACGCTAAGCTGCACGACACAGAAGCTTTCTAAACCTCTAACTTTCCAAAACCATTACTCCATAACAGAAGGACAAGAAGCCATCTAGGTATGTTTGCAGGCAACAATTTAAAATGGATTAATGAAAAAACTTACTCAATGCAGCACATAATCAGCGTGAGCTGGAGAAGTCAATAAGGTGAATAAAAGAATGAGAAATTTAGTAATTGTTATTACTGTTGTTGATACTTCAGCAGCATGTAAAGGCTGTGATGAAGTCTGAAACTATTAAACCAGGGATTGCACAAAATATAATAGGATAGAGTCCCTACCCTGAGGAAAATGGTTATGTTCTGATTGAATAATTATTCTGATTAGTATTAGTTCTTTAGCCTTTTTTTTCCCTATGAAATGCAATGCTGAGTATTCAGTGTAAATTATAACTTTATACCTAAAGTCCCCAAAGCAGAAAGGTGGACAAACTAACCTTTGGATTACAGAGGCTCCTGAGTAGCTCCAGCGTGGGCTATTTTTCTGCCAGTAGGTAGAAGTTGGTGGACAAGCCACCAAGAGCTGGGGACCCAGTATCAGGCCCACCCAGACACCTTGCAAGGAGCTCTGGCACCTTGGGAAGTTGCTGCCATCATGCATGTTTGAACCAGTCCCAGGGCTCCTCTGCTCTCCAGCGCCTGGTGATTCACAGCATACCCCGCCTTGAGTACACAGCCCATATGGTCAGGGCATCTGAGCAGCCCTGCTGTGGGTGTCTGTGCATTTCCTCCCGCTGTCCCCAAAGCAAAGCTTCCTTGAGGTTTCTTCTCCTGAAGAAGCACTTCATTAACCTTCAGACCTCCCTGCAATACTCACCTCTTTTTGCACGCTTGGAAATCACTCTTCCCCAGGAGCTGTGCAGGGGAAACAGTTGTTTTTAATTCCGTTCATAGCCACTCGCTCTTTGCTCAGGTCCCCATCACATCTCTACATTGAGCCACATTCTGTTTAAACCGTAGGGGGACTTGTAGAAGTTCAGCCCTTTCCCCCTCAAAGAGGTGGGCAATTCCCACAGTCCCAGAAGACAGCATTTTCAAAGATATACTGTCCTCATCGAGCCTGTTCTCTGGTTTGAGTAGCTTCATCACCTGGCCATCAGCTACCTCTCTTTATACATATCATAGCACATAATCAAACTATTTCTCAACAATGTCTATTGTGTTCCTCTATAACAGCAAATAAGGAAGAGGAGGAACAGCTTGTAGGTAACCGATCAGTGATGGGAAGGTGCAGACAGGATACCTGGCATCCATGTGCTGCTGCTAGGAATGGCTCAGACAGCGAAAGGGTGGTGGAGGGGAGCAGAGGAGTGCCGCGGATCTGCGGGTGTGGGCTGCTGGATGGCACTGTGCTACCACCTGCACCAGTGGGCTGGGGGAGTGAGCCCAGCCAGTCTGGGCAAGTTTGACTCTGGGCTCTGTAATATTTAATGCTGGGATAAAGGATGGAGAAGGGAGCCCTGAGGTGCTGTATGAACTGAACCTGGTTCAGCTGAATTTTCCCTTGTGATTTACCATGTTCAGCAGAGCATGGGAACGGCCACAGTATGGCTGGTTTTCACCACTGCTTTCTACATCACTCAAAACCAGGAGAAGCAGCTGGCTCAGGCACTGGGTTCAGGGTGCCTGGGTTCACATCCCAGCTCTGCAACTGGCCTACTTGGCCATCATTAGCATCCCCGTTGTGCATGTGACATTTGGTAAAATCAATGTAATGACATGTCCCTTGGGATGCACTTGCTGACATCCTAATGAAGAATATTATTTTGGTATTATGAATAATGAATTAACTTAAGTAAAACATCTTGAAGGGGTAAAGGTCTTCTCATGGATCAAACTAAATATTAATTGAAGAGTACAGAAGAGACATGCTTTATTGTATGGAATCTCTCATTCCAGGCTGCTTCTGGGAAGGATGCAGACTAAAAAAACATTTCTAAGTCAATTTATTCTTGCTAATAATGATAGCCACATAGAAGTCTGTGCCCAGGGCTTGAGGATTAATAGAGATGCCTGTATAACATGTTGCTTTATAATATTCTTAATTATCAAGGGAAAAAGTCTCTCTGTCCAGACAAAGGATGACAGAGAGCCCAAATTGCATTTGCACCTTTCATGGGCATAATGCTTGGGCAAATGCATGCTACGGGTCCAAGCCTTCCATGGGGACCAGCCTCCAGGAAGCAGTGCTGGCTCCTGAGTGCCGGCAGCAGCTCAGGCTTTTAGCATGGGCCTGCAAAGTAGGGGACCTATCTGCCCCTACAGAGGTAAGCAGGGATAAAAAGCAAATTGCCATGGAAGGGGATGGAGGAAACAGGACCAGCTGAAAGCAGAAGGAGCAGGCAGCTGTCTCAATCTTTAGGATCACCTTGAGCAGGAGGAAGCTGGAGACGTGCTTTACTTTATGTGGGGTGAAGTGAAGTAGCTTCGTCCTCCTCTGCCCTCACCAATGTGGCTAAATGCTCCAGTACCTGCTCTGGCTGAGTATGATTTCCCTCGTATCAGTGGCTGCAGTATCATAACATTCTTGTTGGCTAACTGAGCTCTCAGCCCCAGCCCAGGGACGCTGTAGATCAAGCTCTTCTTCTGCATTTCCCTGACATGGCTGTTGATGGTGGTGTGATGGTTTGTCACTGTACATTTCCACCTGATGAGCAGCCATTTAAGAGCTATTGTGCAAATCCTATAGTGCCATTTCAACACATAAGTATCTACTTACCCCACATCTGTTAGCGCAACATCCTGCTCCGCCTGCTCCCAGCATCATGAATGCCGGCAAAATAACCTGTGAGAAAAGCACAAGCCAAATTGGTGTGCAGGACTTCTGCTGGGATGGTTTTTAAAGTCTAGGAGCTGAGGCATCATGTTCCTCAAATGCAAAGCACCTTCTGCCTCTTCTCTATGAGTTACACCCACTTAGATGTTGGTACTTGCTGAAGAGTAACTCAGGAAGAAGCGTGGGATTACCGCTAGAGCTGGCTGGCAAGTTTCTGGTACAGTACTTCTGGCTGCTGAAGCTATACTGCTTTTCAGCAGGGGCTTCTTGTTTTTTTTTTTTTTTTCAGGAACAAACATGTCAGTTTTGAGAAAATGGAATTTCTGCTCAGAAAAGATGCATCACAGGAGTAAGAATTATGTCACTTTAAATCTTCTAAGCATCGTGCTCTGGATTATAATTGGGAAATCAGTCTTAAACTTCCTGAAACACATCTGACTTCAGTTCTTTGTGCTAAGCTTCTGAAAAACCTACAAAATGGGCTTCACTCAACAGGGAACTCCCAGTTCACATCGGCTTTCTCCAGGGTAATTATCAGGTGGAGCTGGACCGATACAATGGAGTCAGCAACCACCTGTGTCTCAGGATATAATGCCACCTTACAGAGGCACTGTGGAGATAGGAAAAGCTGCATTTAGTTTGGTAGCTAGAGGGCAAGAAAGCTTTTGTGGGTCTAGCTATGCAGCCAGAGCA